CTTAAGGCACGATGCCATACACTCTACTATTTGAAGTTTATATATTATGTTGAAGGCGTCCCAGAAACAACGCTTACAAAACTTAGCATTTCTAAAGTTTCTACTATCATAAGGATGATAAACTAACAAAACAAGACGTAGGTCATATAGTACGATTGAATTATCCAATATTATTTTATATTTATAATACAACAACCTTCTTGTCTATCATTATCCCATTCTAATTGGGATACCCCGAAAGACTATTTTCACTTGGAAATATATAATATATATTTTTGATTTATATTTTCATTTGATAATGAATATCACTATTGTTTAAAATCAAAAGCTCTGTTAATTAGGAATATCTTGTAATTTCACAATGGCATAAGCCTTTATCTACAAAATATTAACGTCAAGGCACAACAATAGTACACAGCACATGGAATTGTGAAACTTGAATTAACAGTAATACAATTTTATACCGTACTTTACCTCGTGTCGAATGGATTACTCAATTCTGCCTGACCACGGCTTGACGCCGCTCACACATTGTTTAACCGCAAACTATTTAGATTTTGCCGCAGAGCTTTACTGGAGCGATTTCAGAGCAATCTACAAACATAATTGACCGCGAGATGAATGGAACAAAAACTTTATATGCAATTTTTCATTTTCTGAGAATGAATGGTCTGTTTGGTATATAGGATCTTTTAGAGAATAGTGAGAATGAACACTTTGTTGCAAGTTCTAAGTAATTAAGACTGGTTATCAAGTGTTGAAAATTTGAATAATTTAGTAAATTGATAATAAATTTTATTAACTTCCCGTAGGGTAAGTTATTGTAATGGGCCGAAAATCGGAATTGAAAATTTTTACATTTCTCGACGTTTTGAAGGTTTCTGAACGTTTTGACATACCTCAGAAAAAATGGATGTGTGTGTGTGTGTGTGTGTATGTGTGTGTGTGTGTATGTATGTATGGATACAAATTTCCAGTCACGTTTTAGGGCGCACGGATCAACCGATTTGAATGGTTCAAAAAACATTCGATTCCTATTGATAGGGAGAAGAGCTGATTAGTTTTTGGCAAAGGCAGGTCCAGCCATTTCGGAGATACGGAGCAAAGAGTGCAGAAAATAGAAATCGAAGTTTTGAGAGAACGGAGTATCCGATTTGAATCATCTAAAAAACATTCAATTAGTAATGATTGGGAGAAGAGTTTATTAGTTTTTGGCAAAGGCAGGCCCAGCCATTTCGAAGATACGGAGCTAAATATGTAAAAAATGGCAGGTTTTGAGAGAACTAAGCATCCGATTTAAATGATTCAAAGAACTTTCTGCTTGTCTTAACAAAATAATTGATTTTGGAAAAAAAAATTTTGTTTCACCTTTTTTTTTTTTTTTTTAGTTTTTTGTATATCGAAAATATTTCAGATTTTATTTTTAATTCTGACTATTAGTTCTAATATACTTTATAAATAATTTCAACTCTGCAATTCAGTTTATATAATTCTTATAAATATTAGACAATGTTACAATATTTATAATAATCTATTTGAAAACATTCAGTATTCCTCGAACATTTCGTTACGGTACGGGAAGTTCCAGCAATTTGCCTTAAGGCACGATGCCATAACTGCCTCAAGACAGAATTCCACTTACAGCTAGTTTTTGCTTTAAATGCGTATTAAAATTCATCTTTTTTATTACTAGAGAAAAATCCCCAAATATGGAATACCATTTTGTTTTTGGGATATAAAAAAAACTTCATATTAATGAAATCAATTAATGTTTTTACTAATAAATCATCCATTTATATGTAGTAATTAGCAGTTTTTAATCAAATATTATATATTAGTTATTAAATTAAATCTCAAACAAAAAACTAAATCTTTTTGTACATTTTAATTGGAACACTTATTTTTAAGACCATCTATCTCCCTTTTGAAATGGTCAAAATTGGCTGAATGCAAATCTTACAATCAACGTTTAAAATTATTAAAATTTGCAGTGGTATTTTTAAAATTTACAGTTTAGTAGTTTTACTTTTTATTGTGGAAAAATATGATAATAAATTCCTAACTTTCAAGACTAATTTTAGTACAATAAGATTAAGAACTCCGTGTTTTTTCTTTTCTTTTTTATTTAAAACTGTTAATCATATTTGTAACTTGGATAATAATAAAATAATAATAATAATGGATAGTATTGCCCTGGGGCAGGTTTGTGAGTTAAATTCGAACTCGGTTCTAAGAAGAATAGTGTGAGAAGTTTCTCATTGCCATTTCACACCGCAGTGCCGGAAATGAGGTATTTCCATTGGAAACATATTTACGATAATATGATATATTATTATAGTTCAAATTTTACCATACTACAGCTGATATACGGGTGTCTATGAAAAATTGAATATGCATATCATACTATTCTTTTGGAATAACAAAACTAAAATTAGATGTATAGCACAAATAAAAGGTAGACTATTGGGTTTTTCTTTATAAAGCCGCCACTACCAAGCCTTAATTATCAATCTAATTCTTAATATCTATAGACAAGTTGGATATCTATAGACTGATTTTAATTTGTATATAAATAAAAAAATGTAATTGTGGGACTTTGAAACTGCATGAAATACAGTTAGTAAAATTACATTTTCACGTTTAGTAATATATATGATAATGCTTTTCACTTTCAAATCCAATTTTAGTACAATTTCAATTTAATTAGATGTAATTTTTATTTAAAATTAATAACAAAAATTTGCAATGCTTCGAAAGAAAAGTCTTTTGGAACATTGCTGAAACGAATTAAAATATATAATTAGAAATAAATATATTACCATTAGAAAACTGTTGGATTTCGTTCATAAATATGGCTTACACCTAGTGGTGTTGTGCTAATATTTTTTTTGCCGGAACGCTAAAATTTAAAATCCGGTTCATAAACCGGTTCAAAAAATTTGATATATTTCGATAAGAACTCACAAATCTAATATATTGACTTTTTATATAATTAACTCTATTATACACAGCTAGTCTATACATTAAATTGTACAAGTATGAGGAAATCATTGAGTACATAATTTATATTCTTCGATGACAGTAATCATATTTATTCTGGTATTATTTGTATTCATTAATACCTACAGGTATTTATTATGATATAAAAGTACTCAAGATTTATTACAATACTTTATAAGACTTAGAACCTAATAATATGATAGATAACCTATTATCTATCATACTATATTATATTATTGTATATCATCGATAGATATCTATTATCTATCATACCGTGAGATACCTATACCGTCATTAACTTATTATATACCTACAGACCTTTTACTTCTTATAAATACTACTGTCTAATTTATATATTCACCTATATTATATAGGTTTACCTTACGCTCTATGTATTATCTCTACCTACCTATTATCTATACCGGGAATTGAACCCGAGACCTCCGCGTGGAAGTCGCGCACCTTAACCACTACCCTATCGGTTACCCCCACTAATAATATAATATGGGACGCACTGTTGTTTCCGCTGGTCATTTTCTAATTAATTAGGTAATTAATACTAAGGTGGCGCGACGACACGCGAAAAAAGACGGTTGATTGTAGCGTTACGGTGGTCTAGGGGTTAAGGTTGTCGCGTGTCACGCGGCGGACCCGGGTTCGAATCTCGGTAGGGTTAATGTAGCGTGTAAGGGAAATTATAGGTATATAGTAGATATAGGTTAGGATAGGATATAATTAATAGGATATATAGTAGATATAGGTTAGGTGTATTCGGTATACAATGTAGGGATTTGAGAGTATATGATGAAATATAGCGTATGGTACAGATGTAAGGCGTGTAGTATAGAATGCAACGTATAGGCACACGTAAGGCTATAAAAATAGATGAATAGGAACCTATGATGTAGATGTTAGCGTATAAGAAATGCGAATGTATATAAGATTTAATTTATAAATATTATTTTTTCTATAAGAAGTTAATACACCTCAATTTGGTACTAAATTAAAAACGACTTTGATAAAACCAGTGGTTTTGTGCTAATATTTTTTTGCCGGAACGCTAAAATTTAAAAACCGGTTCTAAAACCGTTCCGTTCAAAAAGGAAAGAAACAAAAATTATTACAAAACCCATTTTGTGCACATATATGTATGTTTATTACAATAATAACATTTAATAAAAATTAGTTGAATAATAACGTATAAAATTTACTTATTAAATCATTTTCTGTATGTAGCGATGTTTTTATATTTTTTCTTGCCGGAACGCGTTCCGGCTCAAAAATGATTTGCCGAAACGACGTTCCGGCGCGTTCCGGCTCGACAACACCACTGCTTACACCTTATACCTTGTAGGAAACCTAAATGGTTAAAATTGCTATACAATATAAACAAAATAAATAATTATAATTATTTAAAAAAGCTGTCTGTATATATTTTTTTTCATTTTCATATATATTTGCATCTATTACATAATAAAATATCAGCAAATTGTTTGATAGTCCTTTGTAGAATGTGTAAATCGGATGCCAATCTATTGATTGGTCGTTTTGTTATGACGGTATAATTAGAATTAGAACCGTGTATAATTAGAATTTTTTAACCAAATCAATATAATAAAATAACTATTATTTTTGTTTTATGTTTTTCTATATTAAAAAATATCGAAGTTTTGATTAAATTTAAAATTTATTCTTAAATATCATTTTTGCGGACAAAAAAATGTGGACTCTAAATAAATTTAATTTTTTTCTAAAACTTACTTTTATGGCATGAATTCAAAGTTCATATGTCTCCTGAACAATACAGTATTTAAAAAAAATCGTCAAGCGAGCCGTGACTAACAATGAGTTGAAAGGAATTATTCGGCGCGTTGGTTGGAAAGATTATTTATTTCCTTGGAGGATTAATCGTTCCAAAATGTACCAAGCAACAAATTAATTTCATTCTCCTCCGCAACAATTATTCAAATGACAACAAATAAATTCATTTTCTTTCGCAGAAATCGTTCAATTGACCGGAGAACCAAGCTTTCGGTCGGTCGAGTTGCGATGGCAGACCACAGGAAGAAATGATGGTTCGAATACTAATTCTACATCAGGTTATTCGGTTCATTATTGCGAGCTCCAATCATGGGGACCATTGAGGTGCAAAGACAAGCAGCATGTTTTACTGGCAACCAACACTGATGACAGATCTTTAAATATGGTAGATGGGGATTATGAAAAGTCTAACACGTTAGTATCTGTGGAATAATCAGATTTATTTCTGTTTGCTTCGGTTTTTGAGAGTCATGAAAATTTATACGTTTTTATTATCATAAAGATAATTTGCGGGGTGAGGTCATATAGTTCGATCGAATAACTCAACAGTATGCAATATTTATAACTGTTTTTGCTCAATAGTATTGAAATGTTTGATATATTACTCCAGATGTTGCCACACCGCCATGGCCTTATTAAACCTTATATTTAACATATATTATTCATTTTATTTATTTTTTCATATTATATTCATATTATATTATTATTCATATTATATTACCCATATATTACGCATAATATCTACCTATACAGTTTTTTATTACCTATAATTTATATTTTGTAGTGATGATGTCTCATATAGTATGAAAATTGGAGGACTACGAATGGCCACAACATATTCCTTTCGCGTGAAGCCTATCAGATTGGACCAGACGAATCGAACAGATCGATCTGATGACAGTGAAGACAATACTATAATAGTTCCTACGAAAGGATGTAAGTACACGTGTTGAAATACTTACTTAAACTTAATAAAAAATGTTTCAAACGATGTATGGTTTAGCATTTTACAGCAATACATAATCTACATATATATAAAAATAAGTCGGGTTTTCCTTCCTGACGATATAACTCCAGAACGCACGAACCGATTTCGACAATTTTGCATTCGTTGAAAAGGTCTCGGGCTCCGCAAGGTTGATAGGAAATTAGTGGTGCATGGCATCGTGCCTTAATGCAAATTGCTGGAACTTCACGCACCGTAATTAAAAATTCGAGTAATGACATTATTGAGAATTATGAGAATTATGCTTGGATAAGTCAACGAGCAATTCTTGCCGCAAAGAATAATGAATGTACACGCACTGATTTTACCATCCAATCAAAAATTGCTGGCGATTTGGTAACATTCCAATCATTCCGACTGGTCTTCCGTTTGACTTCAAACGATTACAATTTCCAGTTTGCCTTGCGTTCGCAATGACAATTAACAAGTCGCAAGGCTAATCGCTTAGTGTTTGCGGGATAAATTTCAAATAAATTATTTAGACAATCATTGTTTTTCACATGGGCAGTTATACGTTGGCTGTTCACGAGTTGGGAAACCATCCGCTTTATTTGTAACGTCAGACCAAAAAACAAAAAATGTGGTTTACCAAAGAGCAGTTTAGTGAAATGGATAATCTGCGGATTCACTTTCATTTACTTCAACTAAAAAACACTTCATTTTTGTAATCGAAATAAATTCATTACTGTTGTATAATAAAATCAAATTTTTCCTTTTCGAATATAATACAAACAAAAAAATTCTTCATCTTTCTCACGAAACCATCTGGTGGCGAAACGGAGTTTGTCGGGTTTGCTAGTATATATATATATATATATATATATATCTTTTTATTATTTTCTATTATCAATATCATTATCTATTATTATCTGTGTATTATCAATATATATTTCTTTTTCTAGTTTCAGCTCGTGCAACTCAATGTCTTCCCCTCGAGAGCGTAGTCGAAGTGTCGACAGGACCTCATTTTGGCGGTCGCATTTCTGTAGAACCGTCTGATGCCCAATTGGACGAATCTCCGGTGAATCCGGACTGCACCATAAATGGTGACCCAGCCGACACAAGAGAGTCTTACACACTTCGAATCGATCACACCAAATGCGGAAGCCGAGTTAATGAAACTACTGTCGCCACATTTATAATTGTCCAAGAAAACTTGCCGATACTTACTCATAGTACACGAAGGTCAGTTGTGATAAAATGAGGAAACATCTCTTAGTTAAATATTATCTGAATACTCACTAATTTATCGTAAGGCATTGAATATGTTGATTATTATATCTTCATAATTCTCTTACCGTATGTAATCGCAAAAAAATCGAAAATGAAATTTTTTATATATCTTACGTTTCAAAGGTTTCTGAATATTTTGGCATACCTTAGGAAAAATGGATGTATGTTTGTGTATATGTAAATTTTCGTCGACGATTTCGGGAACACGGTTCAGTCGATTTCAATTATTCAAAAAAACGTTTAATTTCTATTGATAAGGAGACGCGCTGATCAGTTTTTGGCACAGTTAGGTCGAGCCGTTTCGTAGATACGGTGTAAAAAGTGCCAAAAACGGTAGCTTTAAGAGAACGGAGCGTCCGATTTTAATAATTCAAAAAACATTTTACTTATATTGACAAGATGAAGAATTAACTAAATTTTTGGGAAGGCACCCCACTAATTAACTTCCCGTAGGGTAAGTTATAGTAATCGCAAAAAAAAAGAGAATGAAAATTTTTGCATTTTTCGACGTTTCGAAGGTTTCTGAATATTTTGGCATACCTTAAAAAAAATGGATGTATGGTGTGTGTGTGTGTGCGTGTGTGTGTGTGTGTTCGGATACAAATTTTCGTCGACGATTTCGAGAACACCGATCAACCGATTGAAAAAATTTAAAAAACATTCGATTTGTACTGATAAGGAGGCGTGCTGATGAGTTTTTGGTGGAGGCAGGTCTAGCCGTTCCAAAGATACGGGACAAAAAGTGCCAAAAACGGTAACACGGTTTTTAAGAGAACGGAGCGTCCGATTTTCATGAAGGCAGGTCTAGCGGTTTCGGAGATCTAATGAAAAAAGTAAAACAAAAAGCCATTTGGCGGTCAAAAATGATCATTAGACATATGCACATCAAATTATCAGATATTTTATAGAGATTTTTTGCAATAAGCATGAATTTGGTTTGCATTCCTATGGGTTCCGTACCAATGTTTATCCGTTAGACGGCGACGCGGCGCTTACGCGCTTTGACATTTCGTCTCTATGCAGCTAAAGCAGTACGATTGCTTTGAAAAAAAATTCAGAATTTTCGAACTATGCCAAAATAAAGAAAACTTTTTTTTTCAAACAATTTTTTTTTTGTTTCTCAAAAATCTAATTTTTTTGAAGTAAAATTTTTTCAAAAATGTTAATCGTTTTAACAAAATAATAATTTTTGGACTGAATTTTTGGCACGATGCCTTAATTGCCTTTTATTTTCAGTTTGTATTTCAAACCATTACTACTATCAACAGGTTTCTTGTCCTATGCACATTCCAGCCAGAAGTTCTAACCGTTCGCGCTGGTATGAATCTACCTCCAAGATATCCTGGTGTAGGTTTAGCGGAAACAGACTCGCCAACACGAAGACAAAATAACGCGCGCAGTCTTTTGAGCAAAGGCCGCGCCCAGCTGGTGTTAAAATCCGACTATGATGACTGGACAAACAGTGATGATAATATTACAATAGTTAAAAAAGATAAAAAGCAACAACATGTTGATGATAGTTTACACGAACCAAAAAATGTACACGCTGCCAGGCTGATGGATTCGATTCCATCAGTTGACGAAGCAACACCTAAGGATATTACAGGTACAATGAATTTTAATTTCTGGTTACTTTTAATTTTAATTTTCACACAGTTACTTGGAAGTATAGAACCTAAATATGTTTCCAAGCAAACATAGCCCACATAATCGACAATTATAAAAATTTGGAAAAATTTTCAAATATAACATGTAACATACTTGTATCTAATGTTTTGAATGGAACTTCACAAGCTTCTCAAATATATATACTATTTATTCCTGTTTGTGTTACTAAATGCAACATATTTTTCTATATTTAGTAATTACTTATTATTTATACGTTTCAGAAAAATCCTTTCTTTCCGGAGCCCTCATCTTGGTCGCCTGTGGAGCTTGTGTTTCTTGCATAATTATTATTTTGAGGTTTAAATTAAAAAAACGTTCTATAGCAGTTAACGACAATCGGCCTATAGTATTTCAAACTCTTTAAGTAATTCTTAAAAATAGCGAATAACAAGTTATTGCAAAGACATTGAATGTAACGAATTTAATTTGTATGATGTATATGTTCTCATATAATAGATATTTCTGACTGTAATAATTAACTCTAGATATTATTTTTAGATTCGCAAATCTTATTGTATTTCTTGATATGCTACAGTTTTCTTCCCAAATATATAGCAAACATAATTAGATAATTATCTGAAAAGTTTATATTCATGACATAAAAGTAGTTCAAATTGAATTTAAAATCCAGAACATTTGATTTATGTTCACATGCAAGACTGAATTCAATAATGATGTAGATGATTTACATTTTCACTTATTCTTAATTCTAATTATAAGTATTTATCATGTCATAGTTATATATTAGCTTTAAAGTACTATAAATTTAGAAAGAAGTTCAGTAATGTTCATTAAATAAATTTCATACACAAAAAATATAGATGTGATAAAGATAATATATACAATTGTTTTTGTGACTTCTTTAATTATTTATTGTTGACAGATAAATCGGAAGTGGTTTAGATATATCATTCTGAATCGATTTTATAATTTCAAAAATTATTCGAAATAGTGTATACATTTCAAGAAGTTCATGCAACTTCGCTTAAGGCAATAGCCACTTTCAATCAGTTTTATACAATAAATGTAAAGTTAATTTATTAACTACTGATAAAAACTGTTCAACCACTTGCCTCTGCTATATTTTGGATCTTCTCTTCTCAGATTAAGGTAAGAAACATGATCTTCCTTATTTGTATATTGTTAAACTTTGTAGACTATATTTAAACATGTGAATTAGGTATTATAAAAAAATAAATAGAACGTTTATCATGACGCCTTTTCTTTATAAGCATTTATAAAATGTAAATAAAAGCTTCTTAGCTCAGAACATAAATCCTAAAATATTTATAAATCACATATATCATGTGATCAATATATCAGAAATCTTATGATATACATGTAGCCTGCTGACTTTAAAAAAACGTTTTTTGCAATCTAAAATACATAAAATGCAATGAATATATTATGATAGACTTATTAATATACCAATTTTTAAAAAAAATCTGTAGCTATAATTTGTTCAATGCCTTAAATTTTGCAACACATTATATAACACTGATTTTTGAAGATTCTATTGCTTATAATTATTGTAACTTGATGACATTGCATTAGATATTGTTAAATTGCCATGTAGTATATTTTAAGAGAAGTATAGATTTTTATTATTGTTATAAAAAGCCAATAATGTATATATATATATATGTATATATATATATATATATACAGGGCCGGATTTAGAAATTTGGCGCCCTGGGGCACTGACAAAAATGCCGCCCCTTCCCTAAATTTTTACTTAAATCAGTTTATATATATCATTTTTCTAGAATTAAAATAACTATTTGATTGCAGAACATTTATTACGCATTACATAGTGTAAATAGTGGTGCTTGGCATCGTGCCTCAAGATAAATTGCTGAAACCGTACCAAAAATTAATATTTAAAAAAAAAATTAAAGCGATCGGCCTGCCTTAGCAGACAAAATAAAGAAGCGCGTAAGCGCCGCCTCGCAGAATAACAGATAAATAATTTTACAGAACCCATATAAATGTAACCAAAATTTATATTATTAAAATATCTGATAATTTGATGTGCATATGGCTAATGATCATTTTTGACCGCCAAATGTTTCTCTTTCAAATTTTTTTATTGGATTACCGAAACCGCTAGACCTGCCTCCCACAAATTTAATCAGTTCTCCATTTTGTCTCCATATATGTAAATTTCTTTTAATGATATTGGACGTTTCATTTCTCAAGAAATGAATTATTATTTTTGGCATTTTGGCCCGTATTTCCGAAACAGTTGGACCCGTCTTGGCCAATAACTAATCAGCACGTCTCGCTATCAATAGAAATCAAATTATACAAATAAAATTTAATTTTAATAAGTTTAATAAATGAAACTTAATAATTTTCAAAAAATTTCGAAATATAAAAAAAAAGTTTTTTTAAAGTCAATGTTTATCATTTTCAATAAATTTTTATAAAATGTAATTTGTCGTAAGGCACAATGCCATGCGTCACTAATTTAATTTTTTGCTGCGCCATGAGCTTGGAAGTGCACAAATTTGTCATATTAAGATGGCTCGAGATCTGAAGAACATATTTTTCTTAAACTTTCAACTCACTTACGAATCTTTATATTAGCCAAATAGCTAAATTTTGCTAATAAATTTGTATAATTTATTGTTAATTATATTTCTTGAAATTAAAAATGTTATTAAAAAAATGAGTTAATTATATGGTAAAGAATTTTCTTCTCACTATCTAAATTTTGCCGCCCCCAAAAATTTGCCGCCCTGGGCAGTGGCCCCGACTGCCCCTACTGTAAATCCAGCACTGTAGTATATAAGTATATATACATGTATAATAGAACACTTGAATAAATTAAAAATATATTTTGATATTAAAATTTAATTTCATCTTTAGTATATATAATTTCATACCAAGTATACAAATTTTTCATGTAGCCATTTTTTTTTATTTTCATGTAAATTACAATCTGTCTACGTAGAAAAACATTGAGTAATTAATTTGACAAATAACATAGAATTTCAAAAGGAAAACCCAGACACTGTCACTTTATTTTAATGTACTAAATTATGACTTAATTAAAATTAGGTATATGTATCCATATAATTACTATAATTTTTCTAAAAATATTCAAAATCTTTTAAGACTGAATTTATTTGTTTATTTTCTTCAAAAATCCAATTGTAAATAAACAATGACAGGTTTTCTGTGATTTTGCCAACACTAGCGCTATCAATTGCCTAATACCCAAAACTATTTATTCATACGATAACAACCAAAGATAAATGATTTTATCATAGATAACAATCTATGACAAAAATATAAGATTTGAATTTGAATTTGTAGGTAACGACATAAACGAATATGACCGATAACGATTTATATTGTTTTGGACCCTTTTCGCCCCCATAAAAGCTGGCACAAACACCGTGTTAAGTCTTTTTGTGCTGGGACCTCGAGGTGACACTACGGTGAAAGGTAAGTCATTTATAATAATTAATATTATTCTAAAACTTTTTTCAAGTAGTTTCTAAAAAAAATCATATATTCAGTTTCTTGAATATATGATTTATGCATGGTGTTAGCTTGTGTTTTGATTTATTTAATTTTATTTAGTGAATTATAAATTTTTAAAAAATGGGAACTGTTTATTATTTATATAAATCGATTTATGTTATTTTTTCTATTTCAAAATAATTTTTGCCAAAGAATTGCTGTGCTGGCTTTGAAATAACTCTTCGGCCAAAATTATAATAAAATATAGAAAATAATGTAAATCCAATAATATAAATAAAAACGGTTTTCAATTTTTTTAATTTTAATTCAATAAAAATAAATCAAATCAAAGCGCAAGTACATATATATATATATATATATAGGTATATATAGGTATATATATATATATATATATATATATATATATATATATATATATATATATATATATATATAGGTATATATATATAGGTATATATATATAGGTATATATATAGGTATATATATAGGTTATATATATATATATATATATATATATATAGGTATATATATAGGTATATATATAGGTATATATATAGGTATATATATATATAGGTATATAGGTATATATAGGTATATATAGGTATATATAGGTATATATAGGTATATATAGGTATATATATAGGTATATATAGGTATATATATATATAGGTATATATATATATGTATATATATAGGTATGTATATATGTATCTAATGTATATTGTATATATTTTATATTATATAAATATAAATAATTCCAACTGTAGAATTTAGGTATGATTTTATGACATAAAATTCATTTTTATATAATTTATTTGAATATACATTTTGATTTAAATATTGAATTATTAAATGAAAAATAGAAATAAGAACATATGTAGTATATGTATAAATTTTATTAAGTCTTATAACATTAAACCATGAATATTGCATAATAATTGTACAAAATAATAATTTTAATAACAAAGTCAATAATAATGAAAAAAAGGATTAGAATTAGAAAACTATTTCAACATTAAAATTTATATCTGAACTCATGTTGGAATTATTTACAATTGACTTGTTATAATTATTTAATGTAGTTGTTTAATTGATTTTTAATGTAGTTCGTTTCTTTTCAGATTTTATACAGTGCCAACAGTGTTATGTGCAGTGAATACTAACTTCGGAGGCTTATTGTGCATTAAACTTTTTTTGATATTAATTGTAACTTAGTTTATTTGATATAGTGTTAAAAGTAATTTCTTATTTACCATTTTGCGTTATTTCGAGTACATGGTTCACACTTTTTTTTTTTTTAATTTTCGGAAAACGAACGAACGTATTATGATGAAAATTGCGCGTTTGAAGCTACGTTCCTGCCGCCTACCCCCCACGGCAGGTCCAAGTAGTCGGGTTTCACATTAAAATTTAATTTATTAATTGATTAATTTTTGTTTTATATCTCTGCCTGTATGGACCCCTGCGTTGTTTTCCCAGAAGCAACGTAACCCCATGCACTTAATTTAATAATTAATATTATTTGTGCCATTATTTTTATAATTATTATTAAATTTATTTTTTTATTTTTTTGCTAAGTGGCCCATGGAAAGAAGTAACTTTTTTATAGATTTTTAACATTCAGTTATATTTTTTTTAAAAGTTAATTTGATTACTTTTCGTGCCGTAATGTAATGAACACAATTTCATGAATTAACTTTACTTTTACTGGTCGCACAATGAGTCTCCTGGTGGAGGAATGCTGAATTTATAAGTGGTTGAACATGGCAATATTCAAGAGATGGTAAGAAACTCTGAGCTATGTTCAAATCTTGTTAATCTTGATAGAATTAAATAAAATTTTAATTTTAGGTTGAACACAGAAGATACCAGAGGAATAGATCCTAAAAACACTATTACTAAAATGGAAGAATGTTTACCAGGACGTTAGTGATTACCAGGGTACAAGAGTAGGATGGAACCAGGAGCGCACAAGACCAGAAGAACGTTTGTTATATTCAGATAAGTTTGTTACTTACTAAGATAGATCACTTTACTAAGTAGGATGGACCACTTTACCACCAGGAGCGCACACGACCAGGAGAACGTTATGTTGATAAGTATCTTTCTTGCTAAGGTAGATCATAAGATATTAGTTTTTTGCGATCATTTTCTATATTATTTTGTTATATTAAGATATGTATCTTACTTGCGACGATAGATCATAAGATATTAGTTTTTTTGCGATCATTTTCTATATTATTATTACATTATATACTATATTATAATATATACTATATTATTATTTTATCGGGGCCCCATTTACGTTTTCATTCTTTATATTTGATTCGTGGACGGATTTATATACATATTATAAATAAGATATATTTTGGGCAAAATCGTGTTAAATACAGTGCCAGACAGTGTTGTGTACAGTGATATATCGTGATATATACAGTGCAAAACCTTAATATTTACAATTCAAGATCAAGATATAATTCAAGATCAAGATACATACAGTGAAACATCAAGATCAAGATCCATACGAGATGAAGATACATACAAGATTAGAATCAACCAGAAAATTGCCTACAAAATTGGAGGACGTACACATGGATATATTATTAAGTTAAAATTAGGTTAGAATACATTAGGCTGGTAGTTTACCATTTTTTATTTTAAAAATGGGTGGGGAAGACGGCAAGGACCTTTCAGTTCGCATAGTTTTCGCGTTTTTTCACAATTATTTAATATTAATTCATATAACAATACTTAATACACAAATTTATGACTTTTATAAATGCACTCCTCTATAAGCTTCATAGTGCTGGGAACCTATGAAGTTAAAGTATTTACATGGTGGATCTTAGGGGGGTACATCATGTAAATACTTTTTTTTTCTTTTTTTTTTTCTTTTTTTTCTCTTCATTACAAAATTACCTTTAATTACAAAAGTACATTACAATTTTACCTTTAATTTCTAACAGGTTCTTGCATCGTCTACGGTTTTTTCCTAAAGAAGATCTTCATACACATTTAATCATCTCGCGGGGTATTTTTCATGTTACATTCGGGTCATTTAAGTTAGGCTTAAATTAGGTTTAGTTAATTAATTTAAGTTATTTTGTAAGTGGACTAGGGCTGTACTCAATTTGTACGGCGACACCACATTAAAAAAAGCGCGCCTGGCAACTATACCTCCTGGGTGGTGTGGAAAATAGTTGCATCTTAGCTATAAATATAATAATTATCAATTTAATTATTTTATTAATTATATTTATTTAATGTATAAATGTGTAATGAAAAATGTAAAATACGCTGATGTTAAATGTCCAAATATTCAATATAATACAACTTTTAAAATAATCTTTGTTTTTCAATCTGAAAATCTCCAACTTTTTTCGGGTAAGATTATTATTTAATAAATAATTTAATTTTTTTTAAACTATATTACGTTTTGAATAAGTGTATGGTTTGGATAATAATATTATGTTATTATGGATTATAATATTATGTCCAATTGTATTTTTTCCTCATTTTTTTTTTATTTTGAATTTTTATTTTACTAATATAGAACTAACCTGATTTTTAGTACTTGTAATATATGATACTATTAGTAATAGGAATATTATAATTGGACAAAATATTTTAATCCATAATATGATAATATTATTGATTTTGCAATTTTTTGTCATAAAATATTGGTTCGATACCATAAAAATATCAGCATCATATCATCAAAAGTATTTGCCATAGTAACCGGTATTATTATTTTTGGCATTTTGTCCCGTATTTCCGAAACATTTGGACCTGTCTTGGCAAATAACTAATCAGCAAGTCTCGCTATCAATAGAAATCGAATTATTCAAATAAAATTTAATTTTAATAAATTTAATGAATAAAACTCAATAATTTTCAAAAAAAACGAAATATAAAAAAAGTTTTTTTAAATTCAATTTTTATCATTTTTCAAAAAATTTTGAAGCTTTTTATAAAATGTAATTTTCAGTACGGAAAGTTTCAGTAACTTGCCGTAAGACACATAATAAATTTTTTTGGCGCTATGAGCTTGTAAGTGCACAAATTCGTCATCTTAAGAGGGCTCGAGATCTGAACAACATATTTTACTTAACCTTTCAACTCACTTACAAATCTTTAGATTAGCCAAATTGCCAAATTTTGCATTGCATTTGTATAATGTTTTGTTAATTATATTTCTTGAAATTAAAAATGCTATTAAAAAAGGAGTTAATTATATGGTATAGAATTTTCTTCTCACTATTGGATATCCAAATTTTGCCGCCCCCGAAAATTTGCCGCCCTGGGCAGTAGCCCCGACTGCCCTTACTGTAAATCCAGCACTGATATATATATATATATATATATATATATATATATATATATTATCTTCTTATTATATATGAAAATGGAGCTCGACTAAATGTTATGGTAAAACATTAAAATAGCTGTACGGATTTGGCCAGTCTTAAAATTAGTCTTGAAAAATTCGTGCTAAACAGTAGGTTGTGGAAAAGGTGAGATATTATTTCAAAACCGCGTAGATACTTTAGATGTTTAGTTCAAAATTTTTTGTAGAAGCGTAATTTAAATAAAACAATAGACGTCAAATACATCATACTTCAAATGTCAAATGTTTTTGACAGGCATTACGTTTAATAGAATGTTTTAGGTGATATTTTTTAATTCTCTAGAAATTGTTTAGAAAATTACTTAACAAAACAACGTTTGCCGGGTCAGCTAGTATATTATAATTTTACCCACTTGTATGAATCTATAACGTCGTTAACGGTCAAACAAATTCTATTTGAATTTGGCGCTTTTGCCGTTATGCTCTCCTTGTCATTCGACTCAGGCAACACTTTTATAAATGCATTGTAATCGTAGCTTTTAAATCAAACTTGTAAACATTTTATTTCCAGTTGAAAGAAATATTATATTATTATTGTGTATTATAATTTTAATATATTAATAACATAAATGGTATGTATTGATTGGCTCGCATGATGTATAAACAAATAATTTTATAAGTTCTGACAAAAATTATAATTGAGAGGTTATATCTATCAAAAATTTCATACTCATTCTTATTTTTTAGGCTCGCCGGTATGATACTAGAACAACGATCTTCTCGCCGGAAGGTAAATTTTTGTTTGTATTCAATGAAAATTAAGCTATTTTCATAATAACAGTAAAATATTTTTTTTTTCATTCCTAGGTCGATTATATCAAGTTGAATATGCAATGGAAGCAGTAAGTCATGCTGGCACTTGCTTAGGCATAAAGGCATCTGATGGAATTATTCTAGCTGCAGAACGAAGAAACACTCATAAACTTTTGGATGAAGTGTTTTCTTCAGAGAAAATATACACGTTGAATGAGTAAGTTACTATTCAATAACACGATTGTAATTTAGGATTCACAGTATTACTATTTTATGTTGATACTATTTTCTATTTTTTTTTTTAGTGATATGGTGTGTTCAGTTGCTGGTATCACTGCCGATGCCAATGTTTTAACTACTGAGCTACGTTTAATTGCACAACGTTACTTGCTCCAATATGCAGAACCTATTCCTTGTGAACAATTGGTTTCTGCTTTGTGTGATGTGAAACAGGCTTATACTCAGTATGGTGGTAAAAGGCCTTTTGGAGTTTCGCTGCTTTATATGGGATGGGACAGACATTATGGATATCAGTTATATCAGAGTGATCCCAGTGGAAACTATAGTGGTTGGAAGGCCACTTGCATTGGCAATAATAGCGCTGTAAGTAAACAGTGTTGTGTTTATTGCATAATAATAATAATTTATCTTTTTTGTTTTGCTTAAAAATATTTATTTAAAAAATTCTTCTATAATTTTGTTGGAATGATTCAAATTTCACTTATATTTAAAGAAATATTTTCAGTTGTTTTTGCTACCAGCTTTGTCCTGGGAGTACATTATTGCTTAATCTGAAAAACACACAATTTTGTCACATATCATCGTGAATTTTTAATGTTATTAAAAAATCTGCATTTAATACTACAAATAATTAAATGTGTATTTGCACCTCTAGCTCTTAGATCATTATGCTATTTGTATATGAACAAAATTTGTTTGCAGGCCGCTGTTTCCAGTTTAAAACAAGAATATAAAGAAAACATGACTTTAAAGGAAGCTCAAGAACTTGCTATTGTTGTTTTAAGCAAAACTTTGGATATGACTAAATTAACCTCGGATAAAGGTAAATATATTTATTTGTACTTCTTTAATTCAATTTAAATTATTATTAAAACATTTTGCTTTTATCAGTTGAAATGGCATCGTTGCAACGGATAAATGGGAAAACAAAAATAAAAATTTTAAGTAACACTGAAGTAGATGCATTAATAGCTAATTATGAGAAAGCTGAAGCAGCAGCTGAAGCTGCCAAAGCTGCTGCAATGAGTTCAAAACCATCAAGCAGTTAAATTGTAAACTGAATCTAAATTTTTGTATTACAAGAAATAAATAAAAAATATCATATTTAAAACAGAAAATTTGCAATAACTTCATCCACCAAAAAATATTTTCTAAAGCAAATAATAAGAGGAAAAATAAGACTTTATATTGTTTTTATTCAACAGTTGGAATATAGCATTGTATATTAACAATATTTTGATTTTCTAGACTAATGTGTACATACAGATCTGATTTAATAGTACAAACTGCTCTGGTATGTTGTACCTAAAATGAAATTTTTTTAAACAATAAGTATTATTTTATTATTGATACAAGTATTATTACCTGCTCAGCAGATAAAAACAAAAGAAGTTTCTTAATTTTAATTTGGCATGATGCTACTTCTTCGCTGCCTGTTAACTTATTATCTGTAACAATTTTCAATTATTATTAATGTATTTGAAATTAAGAATCTCAATTTCTTAATTAATTTTACCTAGAATAACTAAATTATTGAAATAGACAGAAATACGTGTCATGTCTGTTTCAGAAGTGATTGTTAAATATCCATTCTTGTTTATTTCTACTTCAACATATGGGGAAAATGTTTTTACTCGTTCTAAGACATTTTTTACTCTCTTTAAGCTAGGCATAATAATTGAAATCTGTGTATACATAACCAAATTATAGAAAGAGCATGATTTATAATAATACAATTTTGAAATTTTACATCAGGTTCCGGCAATACAGGTTGTTCATATTGTGTCCATATTCTTCTGGGTATAACTATTACAGGAATGTCATGACGAACTATTCTTATTTCTTGAGAAGATATTGATGGCTGGACATATTTAAAATAAAATCATTATCCAGTTGTACATCTTTTAAATTCCTACTTACTTGTTCTATTTTTAAAGACAGGCATGGCTGATCTTTCTTAGCTAGTTTAATATTCATTAATTTAACATTTTGCTTCAAAGTTACAAGGGCATGATTCAAATACGCTAAAATTAATAAAAATTGTCTATGAATAATATTCAGGATTACAAATGTTTTAGTATTTCTTAAGTAAAACCTGGTCCAAATGATAAGTAAATTTCATTATGTTCATCATCTACTCCAGTCATTATATATTCATTGAAAAATGCTCGTTGATCTAATTCACACCAAACTAAAGGAGGTTGAGTGAGTGAAAGAGTTTCTTGTGTAACAACAAAAAAAATTTTATCACTTGTAAGTCTCATAACACACTCACGAGATAACCTAGATAGCATCATTGTTATGTCTGAAAATACAGGTTATTAGTAGTTATGTCACTAAAAGCCTAAAGTTATAAAGGTATTTTACTTACTATGAAACTCTTTCATACATCCTTTTTCAACCATAACACCTCTGAACTTCATTATCAAGACTTTTTATTGAAACGTATATCAAGTACAATTGATGCGTATCTATCCTTCAGACCCTATCTCATCGGACAGTTTCGGCCACGCTCAGGCCTATCGAGAGTGGGAAAATGATTAAAATATAATAATTTATTCAATTGAATATTGAATCACATTTATTTTGCATTTTCCATGTTTGACATAAAAATGAAAAATCCTTAACCTAAAATTTGTCATTGTACATTAATACCAACTTACCAACAGGCATAATCGCGACTCGCGAGCGGGAGCATAATATTTGGCATTGTGAGTGAATGGTTTTCAGGTTATGTTGAAACATTTCAGTTTGCCATTGAAATAGTGCATATATTTATTAATTATTGCATTGACAAGTATGAAAAAGTGATTAGGAAGGCCTTTAAACAATACCAAAACGATTAATATAGTGAATGTTGTGTTTTTACGCCAAGTTAGTCAATATAATCTGTATTAGAATATAGGGTCCGTTCTTTTTCCAGTGTTTCACACTTTTTCTAGTTATTTTATGAAATTAGTAATGAATATGATTCTGATTCTGAATTTGACACGATTCTGATTTTTTTTTCTTAAAGTTTACCTAATTAAAATAACATATTACATTTTAGTACATACTTGTACCTGATTCATAAAGAGTGTTGCATGCTTTTCTTTGTTAAATGTGAAGCAATAATGAGATACAATTTTCCAAATTTTCAACAAGCAAGTGTAACTAATAACTGCTGTTATTGCGTAAACAATTTTCATTCTGTGCGAATTACATTCATTCTTTGGAATTTCTTTTATTTTGGGTTTTATTTAAAAAATTATGTTTGGCTTGGTAATTAATAAATAATTTGATTAGATTTAATTCTATGTAATATTATAGTAATAAGTCTAAGGCTATAAGGCTAAGGCCTTAACCATACTGAAAGCACAATTTCTATAGGTATCATAAAGTATTAAGAAAATTAATTTATATTTCTGTGATAAAAATGCAATAGCCGCCAAAGATTTTTCCAAATGAAATTGCACAAAATAATGTTAGCATAATTTTGTTAAGAGGGTTGACCTAACAATAAGCAACATTACCATGTACCGAGAATTTATTTGCCCATTTTTGTTAATCTTTTACTGACAAATCAATGTTGTATATTGCTTAACAAATGTCATTCTAGTGCTAATTCACTTTGATTTATATATCAGGAGAACCTTGGATTATAGTAAGGTGGAGTGTACATTGACCACACAATCATACTTTTAAAGCAACTACTTCTCTTTTACTCGAGGGGAGACTGAATAGCTTATTCATTTTCAATGAAGGAGCAATTAAAAGACTATTTTTATGGATTCAAAATAGTGCAGGAAAAGCGCTTTAGTGAATATAGCTATGTTTATAATTATATAACTACAATTTTGTTCATCTTAATTCAATACAAATCTCTGTACTTTACAGGTTCAGATTTAAATTTTGCTTTAATCATCTTGGAAATTTTGCAATTGAAATCAGTCGAAGCCTTTGACAAATATACTATTTATGGGATGAAGTTTGTGAGTCAGTGATCCTAGTGAACGCATCCATCAAACAGTAGTTGTCTAATTCAGTTCAGGCAATTTGCCTTAAGGTATGTTAATTAGTTTTGCATGACAATCGGCCAAGCCAATTGTGCAAAAAAATATGTTATCAGATTTAGAGTTCACAATATTTTCATAAAATTTAGATTATTTATACACGCAGTTTGAGATATTTATACACACAGTTTAGCCGATACATATATCATTTGAAATTTTTTAGTTTCAATATTGATTTGTAATATATATCTGAAATGCAAGCAGTACTCTCTAGTTTACTAATATAGAAAAGTAAGAATATTGTTACAATATTTATTTATTTATTTATGCAACGCCCAAGGCAATAATACAATATAATTACATTTTAAAGTGTACAAATTATAAATTCAAGATAATATGAGAAAATTTGAGTATTAAGAGTTCATAGATAAATTTGTATATACACATAACACTTAATATATATAAACTACAAATATAAATATTTGGGACCGACTTATCTGAATATTATTCTTGTATCTGCGGAATCTTACATGGTTGACAATTTTTTTCTGGACAGATTCAATTCTGTCAATTTGATATTGGTAAATCGGGTTCCAAATTATACACCCATACTCTAATTTTGGGTTAAGATTTAATAGTTATTTTTTGTATATTATAATTATGAAAGCATTCAAACAAAAACCGCTTTTGAAATTTTCACAAAGACATTTTTAAAGATTTTTTTAAACAAATTTGCATGGGTGAAAAACCGAATTTAAACGGAGAGCTGAACGCAAATTTGTTCTAAAATTATTAATTAATTGAATTGAATGATTCGAATTGGCACTCACTTGAATGTTGAATGTTATATTATTCGAGTTAATAAAGTTTGATTGAAGTTTAAAATAATTGATTTGAATGAGTTCCAAACTAAATCATTTGCAATATTATTTTAATTACAAATGTAAATGTTTTTTTGTAAATAATTTATTGTTTGTTTTATAAAATTTTATTCTATATTTTATTGAACAAATTAGGACTCATTCAAGTTAATTAAATTTCTTTTCATCTCGATTAATTGTAATGGTTTCATGTTTTTGCATTAACAATCTTTTTCGAGTCATATAAACTATTTTGATTGGATTAACTAATTATTTGCTCGATTACCTTTTAATTTTTAACGAGTTGTAATAGTTTTTTTTATTTGGTTGCAACATCCTATTTCTCACATTTTTTTTGTTGTTTTTTTCTTTTTCGTGTTGTTTTTTTGCAGATTTTGCATTGACAAGTTTTTTGTGTCCCTCAGGGTTCTAAGTCGCTGTCAACACGTCCTTCAGTGATATCTAGCCGGGAAATTTCTGGTCGGTCACGTTAACCATTTCTCCATCGGATTACTTGAAAAGATAAGTTTTTATGTACTGCATATCTTGTATGTATAATGGAATTTAAAAAAAAATATTTTAAGTCCCCAGGTATGCCTGAAAGTGGATTTGAACTGCCTTTACTGATGCCTTGGTGTTTCTGGCATCTTGTCCGGCACTTTAACCACTACTCCATTGGGCTACTTGAAATATACATGATATTATGTACTATATATTTTATATATATAATAAAGTAAAAATGGAACTAAGTACCACTTTTCTTCGTTACACTCTTTCTCGTCCCTCTTTTCTACCATACCACTTGCTCTACCCTTCTCCTCCTCCACCACCTCCTCTCTACCCTTCTGCTACCATCCTATTTCTTTCACGGTCACTTATTGCTCTTGGCCATTCGACTACTTATTAACACCAAATTTTTAAGAAAGACTTTTGCCCAAATCTGTACAAAATTTTTTCCCAAAATTTTTTTGACTAAAAATTTTTTTCCTAACATTTTTTTGACCAAATTTTTTTTCCTAAAATTTTTTGGGCCGAATTTTTTTTTCCAAAATTTTTTTGACCAAAAATTTTTTTTCCAAAAATTTTTTTTCTCAAAATTTTTTTGACCAAAAATTTTTTTCCCAAAATTTTTTTTTACCATAAATTTTTTTCCAAAATTTTTTGGACCAATATTTTTTTTACCAAAAGTTTTTTGACCAAAAATTTTTTTTCCCGAAATTTTTTTGACCAAAAATTTTTTTTTCCCAAAAATTTTTTGACCAAAAATTTTTTTCCCCGAAATTTTTTTGACCCAAAATTTGATGACCTTGACCAAATCATTGAGATCAGTGAAAAATTTTCAAAAAAATCCCATAGAAAACACGTGAAATTTACAAAAAGTCGATTTTCTGCTCTCCTGAGCGAAAAACGGACAAAATTTTCCCCCCTGTAACCCCCCGCTTGAAATTCGCAATAACCCACCGAATCGAATGAGCTCACTTTCAACCCCCTAGGTGAACATTCAATTTGTCCATATCATCCCCCTGTGACCTTGACTTGATGGTCAATCGTCGGATGGACTCGCAGAATGTCCTTCCAGTATTAGCTGCGAAAAAACTCATCATTGCCGTGGCTGAATCAGTTAGAGCGCTAAACTAGAGTATGATCCAAAGGGTGCTGGTTCTAATCCGAATTTTTATGACCAAAATTTTTTTGACCAAAATTTTTTGGACTAAAATTTTTTTAACCAAAATTTTTTTGACCAAAAATTTTTTTCCCAAAATTTTTTGGACCAAAATTTTTTTTACCAAAAATTTTTTTGTCCAAATTTTTTGTCCAAAAATTTTTTGACCAAAATTTTTTGGACTAAAATTTCATTAACCAAAATTTTTTTTGATCAAAAATTTTTTTGACCAAAATTTTTTTGACCAAATTTTTTTTGGCCAAAAATTTTTTGGACCAAAATTTTTTTGACAAATTTTTTTGACCAAAAATTTTTTTGTCCAAAAATTTTTTTCCCAAAATTTTTTGGACTAAATTTTTTTTAACTAAAATTTTTTTGACCAAAAATTTTTTTCCCGAAATTTTTTTGACCAACATTTTTTTGACGAAAATTTATTTGACCAATATTTTTTGACCAAAAATTTTTTTGACCAAAATTTTTTTGACCAAAAATTTTTTTGTCCGAAAATTTTTTTTTCCAAAATTTTTTGGACTAAAATTTTTTTCCCAAAATTTTTTTGACCAAAATTTTTTTTGACCAAAATTTTTTTGACCAAAATTTTTTTTGACCAAATTTTTTTTAACCAAAATTTTTTTTAACCAAATTTTTTTTCCCAAAATTTTTTTGACCAAAATTTTTTTGACCAAAAATTTACATTGTATATATTAAAATCAATTATGTTGTATAAAGTACCCAAGGGTAGAAAAATATGTGTTAAAAATAACAATGCAAAATGTCTCAATTATTGAAATAAATACTTTTGTCTGTCTGTCTGCCAATATATATTTGTTATATTTAGATATAACAAACTAACGGGTCATATGGCCAAAGAAAATTTGGAATGGTATGGCCTGTGTTAGCGATATTGGTAGAGTCATGGCTTCGTACCAACAGGGTACCGCGTTCGAATCATACCTCCAGCTATTAAACGGAATTCAGTGAGCCTAACGTTGTGGT